TGTACATTTTTTTTCCCTTTTCTGAACAAAATTGAAAGTATATTAAATCCAAGATTTTTGGTCAAAGGTACCTATGGTTCTTTTTTAAAATAATTTATTTTCTTATTCATTTTCTGTGTTCTGAACTCACGAACCTACTGATCACATTGACAAAACTATCACAGTTTTGTTTTGGAAATCTTTCAAGAATTACTACTTCGCAATTTTTCTCGAGTTCTAGAATAATGGAAAGGACCCTTTTATTAGACTCTAGGCATCTATCTCATAATATTTGGTGCATTTTGTGGTTTTGCAGACGCATGTCAGAACAGAAAGTGATGATCTTCCCGAATGTATCGAGGTATAAACAGTCAACTAGACAGGGTTTGCAAAAACTTTTCTTTAAAAAAACTATATCATTGCATTGAACTTGATTCCATGGATTCACTTTTAAGTCAACATGGCAAAAGTTACTTATGCTGTATTAAATTTAACAGAGCTTGGAGTGGCTATTGAAGTTTGTATGATGCAAGCATCATATACTGACAGAAATTAAATCTTCCTTCCTGACCACTAATACCAACCTGAACAGCTAGTGAGGGTCAGCATCTCTCCCTGACCTGGCTATCGGTAAGACATTCGATTCTATTCTTTCACCAATAGAATGAAAAGTATATGATGGATTGCCAAAAATCCTCTTTGGCCTAAAGGTCCGATAAGTTTTTCTCAAATTTTTATACGAGAATCATATTAAAACCTACTGAAGTTTATACCAATTAGCATTTGAATTTCATCTACGTGCTTCAATAATTCATTAGTATTGTTTGTATTTAGTGTTGAATTACAACTTGTATGCGTTTGATACTCAGAGATATGACTCGGTACAATGAGATTTTTAGTACCCGAGTGATTGGCAATAATGTAAATGATTACGATCAAGTTTAGATGTCACTGCTAAGCATACTTAAACTCTGCTAGTTTTGCCATCTTATTAGGTTTGTTTGTGGTTTAGAAGCTTTCGTTGGCCTATTGCTTATTACAGAAAAATCTGAGATGAGATGAAATAGACAACAAAAGTACTGATATCTTCACAAATCAATTTACGTTCTACGTTTGCAAATATGCCAATTCATATTACCCTAAAATCAAAAGAAACGGTAAAAGAAAACGAGACAATAATCTATATTTGTAAATTACAAATTACACTAGTTAAGTGAAACGGTATACAATCAAGCATCCAAAAAGTAATTTTTTTGTACCCAAAAGAATGTCGCGCAACATTTCAACATCCAGATGAAATGTATATCATACAGCAAAATGGTTAAGCAAAGTAATTCACAAGTGTAGGATTTCTGCTTTCATGAATATGATGCACAACTTACTGTTTATCTATCAGCTGAATTAACTGGAACAATAGCAGGCTCCCCTGGTAATGGCTCATCGAGATGGAGCTCGGCAAAGTTGTTGATGATCCCAGTTCTTTCACGGTATATACTTTCCTTTTTCTCCTCCTCGGCTTTCTCGACTTTTGCCTTGGTCATCTGAGTCACTTCCTCAGCAGCTTTTGTAACAGCAGTTACTGCATTTGAAAACCATGCTGCTCCAGTAAACACATAATAGTTACTCATGAGCGCAGTTCCTGCACTGCTTGCCTTCTGCTCGGCCACTGCGAGAGCAGATTTCGTCTTTTCAGAAACCTGGAACTTTTCATCCATCTCCCTGACCTTTTCATTTACTACTGCTGTGCCTGCAGTTATCTTCTCCATTATGCCCATCTTGCGATCTATGGACGTGACGGTCGCAGAAGCATTCGATGTCAACTGGTGTCGTTCATCAAACGCTTTTGCCTTGTTGACAGCATCCTTCCCCAAGATGAAGCCCTTAGCAAGCATTGTACTTACGACGTCTTCTGCCTGATTCGGAGCATTCCCAGTAACAGTTTGCCTTTTATCCTTCAAAAGATCATTACATTTAAGAAAGTGTAAGTAGTCTAAAATCCCTCGTTCTAGACAAAAACAGCTACTTGATTTCACTAAGATCCTCAAGAATTCAAAACCTTTTCAAACAGCTGAAGAAGCTGATAATACATGAAGAATTTTGAACCAAATGATTTCAAGAACTCGCAATGACCAAAACACGTAATTCGCTTACGTGCATAAACTCGAACATCGACAATGCATACACAACAGGCATTTGATAATGATAAACAAGGCAGAATTACCAGGATTGATGACATTGCTTCTGGTGGAAGATGATAATTCTCAACCAGAGCAATTGTTACAGATAGATCACCAATTTTTGCTCCCTGAGATATCCGAAGAGGAAGGGGGGGGAAGTTAAAAACATAATTATAAAAAAATATATATATATATCAAAGTTCATAAAGGAACATACTGTCAAAAGAATTGCAGTATCTGCTCCTTGAGAATCCTTGTATGTAACATAAGCAACCTGAGTATTTTCAGTTTCTCTACAGACAAAATCAAATTCTTCAGCATGCTTTTTTTCAAATAAATCAACACATAAGAACAGAATCACTAACCTTTGCATTTCAACATAAAGGATTTCACCAGAGAATGAAAAGAATTCTTCGATATCTCTCTCCGAAGTAGCCTTCGAGATATTGCTGACCTTCACGGTTCTCATCTGCATCGGATTTTAAAAACAATGAAGAAATGCAAGTGTTCGTGTTAAGAATATCTATAAAAGATTTAAGTTTTCGACATCAATCAATCTAAGATTGATGTTCAAGCCTAAACCTCTGAATTTGAAGTTTTGCAATGTTATTTCTTCCTCCATAAACATATGCTAAGAATATGTATAAAAGATTAAATTTTCGACATCAATCAATCTAAGATTGATGTTCAAGCCTAAACATCTACATTTGAAGCTTTACAATGTTATTTCTTCCTCCATGAACACTGATAATTCTCGAGTCAAATTAATACTCAATTCACATCCTAAGAAAATGTATAAAACAAATTTAAGCTTTTGGGTTTAGGGATAATTCAACAGTTTATAACTTCCACTTCATTCAGTTCATCATCAAAGTGAAAGAACAAGGATGAGATTCAAGTAGCTGATTTCAGAAAAAGAAAATTAAGAACAAAAAATTGGGTTTAGCAGTGAGTTAACCATTAGTAATTCTCACTTCCATTCAGTTCAACATTTCAAAGAGAAGTCAATTTGAAGGAAAAAGAAGTTGGGAATTGGGATATACAGCTGATTTGAGGAGGAGGAATAGACGAAGAGACTGTTCATGAATTATCGATACCATGAGAATCTAAACCTTTTCTCGATGAATTCCAAATTCTCATAAGAAGCAAATCGAGCGAGAAAAATGTACGAAAGAAAACGAATGCATCAACAGCAGTAGAAATCTTCTCACAAACTGTAGGAACAAGAGAATACAGAAACAGAGATCTTGAAAAATCAAAATCATAAACCATATTCCACATTGCAATCACAAATCCCCAAATCACCATCGCAACCATTCACAATCAGGAAAAAGAAATTAGCAAACGCGAATGCGGCAGATCTGCATCAAAGATTCACAGACAAAAAGAAGAAGATGATTATGATGAACTCACCGACATTTGTGCGCGGCAAAAGAAAGGTTCGAGAGGGAATTAGCTATGGCGGAAGATGATGAGATGAAGGCGCGAAGAGAAGATAATAAATTGTTGTGAGGAAGGGGAAGTGATTTTTGGTTTTGGATTTAGTTTTTTCGGGTAGTTTGGTTCTGGAAATGGATACGATTTGTTTGCGAAGTTTTTTCATTATTGTTTTTCAGTAGGAGCGACACAATTTCAGGTTTGACTTGGTTTCCTATACCTCTCTGATCTGTATATAACTGTGACGCAACTCGATACTTTCTTTTTTTTCACTTTTTAAAAATTTAAAACTTCTTCTCTAACCATTTAATTCCTATATTTTAAGATTGGTAAAAATTATGGTTAAAATTTAATAAAATTTATTATATAAATAGATTAATATATTAATTAAGTTGTTAAATAATAAAAACGGACATTTAATTTGACGAGTTTTTTTTACGAATCTGTTAGCCTCGACCTTCGCCTAGACCATTGGTGAAGTTCTAGTGTTTCTTTGGATTGGCGAAGATGGTAAAAGAAATAAAGAATATACCAAGTGGGAAATATTTCCATGTAACAAATTTACAAATTAATATGACCACTAATATTTTCCCAAAAAACTCTCTTTTTAAAACAAATCCAAAATCTTTACTTAAAAACCAAACATTTATTAAATAATAATTCAGATTTTTGTTTTCTTTATATCATAAATGTCAACATAAGGCATATGCTTAAAGTCAGAGGCCAAATTCCTCACGTGCAAATGGTTGAAAAAATAAAATAAAATAATAACAACACAATAGATTCTACGATTTTAACAAAGAAGCTAAGTTGTTTAATCAAAAGGGAAGTATTATTCCATTTAATCTCTCACATAATATGAACTCTTCTTGCACCAAGCTCTTGCTCTATTAGGATTATTTCCAACAAAAAAAAAAAAAAAAAAAAAAAAAAAAAAAAAAAAAAAAAAAAAAAAAAA